ACTAAGTTTCGGGGGTTATGCCGGTTTCACACTGGCCGAAACTATTCATTTCGTTCACTAAAGAAATTTTGTTTCGGTGTCTTTTCCCTGCTGTTAGTGTAAAAGCAAGAATTTCGCGTGAATGTTTATAGGAGGACGATTCAGTTTCGAGTGTTATGCCGGTTTCACACCGGTCCAAACTGTTCGCTCAGTTTACCGAGAAAATTTGATTCTTGTCTCTCTTTCCTTCGTCAGAAATGTAGAAACAGGAATTCCGTGTGAATGTTTATAGGTGGATGACTGTATTTCTAGTGTTACGCCCGTTTCACACTGGTCAAAAATGTTCGCCCAGTTCACTAAAAAAATTTCTTCTCGTCTCTTTTCTCTCTGTGAATGTTTATAGCGAGCGATCGAGTCTGTTGCATTTTTAACGAACCCGTTCGACACATTTATGTACGTTACATAAACTTGAGGAACTCGATCAAAAACTCTCACTTTCACAGCTTACCGGAAATACGCGTATTACTAATATTCCTGCGCATATTTATACACCGACGAATAGTGCACGTTGTCGATTAGAATTTTACAAGAAGGTTTGCGAAGCATAATTCGCGTGCACGAAATACGAGTTACCATCTTTGAAGACAAGTTTGTACACCGTAGGTGGTGACGCAACCTTCTGATACGTTAACTTCAGCGGTAACTGCTAATTTAATTAAGCAACGTCTTTAGTTGCACGGAGCGCGCGACCGTATTCAGCGGAGAAGTCGCATTACCCGTCTTTGCAAATTAATAACAGGCATTATCCGACGACTGCGTTTCGCGGCGTTAAGATATCGTCTCCTCCATCCAGAATTATCTCTTCGCGTATATACTTTCAGACGTCGGTGAAAGCCAGTTGCTCTTTGAATGCACGGAAGATGCGGTCTCGTATCGTCATTGTTGCGCAACGCATTACGCGATTCACCGCGCTTCGAATAGCATCGTTATCGCTTGCGTTTAGTTACCTCGCGCTCTACTTTTCACAAATTAAATTCACCTTGGAATTTCGAAGAATTTCTTAAGTTAGTTTATACGGGAAAAAGTTCTTTAAGAAATTCCATCCAGTTAACCTTTATCACTTAACACGGAAAAATCTGACAATCACACGCGAGAAGACTCCCGTGGAGAAAGCAAGGCGTCTCGAAGTTCCCGTGGATGGGAGACGGCCAAGCCTCCTAATGAAATTCTTCGAATGCACCGGATTTCGCGATGACAAAAGGGGACCGACCGCGATCGAACTCATTATAAAATCGAACGGTTCGTGGAGGACGCGACGGGCGTTCAGCTAAAATCATTCCTGACACGTAATCCCGTTACCGTCGGGACCGGCGCGGGGTGGGTTCGACCGGACAAAGCGTCCAATTAAAATTATGCAACGTCCATTGTGCTCGTTATCGCGCGCCTATCACCAACAGGACCGTCGGGGAACTTCGAAAACTCGCGTAGTTCGATGAAAACGAACGGAAGGAGAAGAAGAAGTTCCACCGTTGCTCCACCTTCTCCCTTTCCCACTCTCTACATCCCTCCTAAAACCGCCGTGACAAATTCGTTTTCCCCGCTGCCGCGCTTCCGTATTTACTCCTGGCTACGTTGCTTTGTCCCTGCGTAATTACGTTCCGTGGGCGGCTTAACGGTCGACAATTACTCGCCTGGTCGTCGTTAATTTCCCCTTGAAATAAAAGATGACAACGACGATGACGAGGACAAGGGTGCCTGCGAGACGTGGAATACCTAAGGGAGGTGCGCGATACCAATCTTACGATTTTCCACCGGCACAAAGACGGGTTCCCCCTTTAGCTTCGGTCTCGAGTCTCTAACGGGACTTTCCAGCAAACGGAGTCGCTTTCGTGACGACGATGCCGATGTTATCGTGCCGCCCAGGCCTAACTGGCAATGTCGAATCGCGTGGGTTACAGAGGAAACGTGTATGGTTCCGTGGGTCGGGAGAGGTCGAATTGGACGCGATGTACCGGGTGTCCGAATCGTTTTCGACCAAACTTCGCCAGTGTGTTCTATGGGTATATGTAAGAGAAAAATGTCGTATAAACGTAGGTCGTTTGAAGCTTCGTTGAAAAGTTACAGCGATAATACGAAGGAAATAGTTGGGTTAATTTAAGTTACGATGCAAAATAGGAATAGATCAAGGATAGGTTCATCTAGTCTGGTTGTGCATAGCAACCGCAAACTCGTTACCATTCCCTTCGCATTTTCCCTATAACTTTCTAACTAAGCTTCAAACGACCATTGTTCACGTAACGTTTTTCCCTCACACACACCCACAGATCACACTGGCAAAGTTTGCTCCAAAAAAATTAGGACACCCTGTAGATGAAAAATAGCCTCGACAGAAGATTCGAACGATCAAACGTTCGATTGCACACGCGTCTCGTAATTGCAAAATGCCTCCGAGTTTTCATAATCATGGGAAAAACGTAACGTTGTTAAAAATCCGCTCGCTCGTTGTTCGATCACAGGGAGAAGGTACTTACACTGCAATCGTACATAACAGAGGTGTTTCACCGATCACGATCGGTCGCCCGGACAGGAAAGATTTCAGCCTGATTTTGTAACGCATTACATAAAATTGTTGCGCAACCTGTTTGGAGCGCGTTGCCGGATTCCGCGGCGACGGGCCCGGAATTCACCCGGGGTGGAGGAAAGAAGGTGCTCTCGCGTGTTGCACGGCGAGAAATGCACCGGTGTGGCGCGGCGTAAGACGGCCAGAGCTGCGAGATAGCCGCGCGAGTAAGTGGCTTTACGCGGAAGCGGCCGTAGATCCAGCAGTAACCTACCTTTATGACCGACGATCTCGCGAGTGCGTTTCCCTTCTCCTCTCACGTAACGCCAACCTGCACCGGGCTATCGCGCGCAGTACAAGTGAGAAATCGCCTCGAAAGCTGCGCGCCATCCGGCCGGGACGAGTTCGCGATCATTGTTTCAATAATAGCGCGCCAACGTTTCGGCTCCTCGCTCTGCCGTTTCGCGCCATGCCTCCTCCCGGTCCTATTACACCCACGGAAATATGGAAATGCTGATATCTTCGAGTCACTTCCGCCGGGATCTAACCTGAGCTCTGCTGTCGCGAGGGGGAATTTCGGTGAACGAATGGAGTTCAGGTAGGTTTGAATTTTAGTTGTTTATTCTGTGTTTGGGTTTTATCGCGGTGGATTAGGTAGAGAAAAATTCGTGTGGTTTCTGTGTTGGTCATTCACGTTAAAAAATATATAGAAATGCTGTTGAGAGGTCGATCAAGTTATCAGAAAAAATTTCGTGTACTACACTTACTTTCGTTGCCCGTTAAAAATTCTGAAAGACGGCAATGAAACTCGCGCGCTAGACCAGAATACCCCCTTGATAGGTGAAATTGGTATTAGGTTTTGTGTAGTTTTCTGGCTGAAATTTCACACAGACGTTAGTTCCATCCTTACTAACGTCTAGAAATTGTAAAAGTCCAACAGCAAAAATCCTTACCGCCAAGTTGGGGTTCAAGCATGGTCGGACGTCCTCGCTCGTTCTCCGGCTTGTTCTTCGGTTGGTGGCTTCGATGGAAAGTAGAAGCCTGGTCTGATAGGGGTATAATAAGCTGAGGCACCCTGAGTCCTTCTAAGGACGTTCTCCGGCTTGTTCTTCGGTTGGTGGCTTCGATTGAAAGTAGAAGCCTGGTCTGATAGGGGTATAATAAGCTGAGGCACCCTGAGTCCTTCTAAGGATGACCCACACTAGTAGGTTTTGTGTAGTTTGTTGCTCGCTAAAGTCTACTTTTCGTCTATTTAACCCTCTATGGGCCCGTGTAACTTTCAAGTCACATACTAATATATCGATATTTTATTAAATAATTGAACTTTCTTCCACAAAATGGCATAAACGTCTTGTTGTACAATGTCTCCTTATTAACCAGTAACTTTCTTGATAACCGTTGTTACTTCAAAGTTACAATATGTATTCGTTATGATAAAATTGTTTATAGGTCGATATTTGCTAATTTTACGTTACATAAATTCTTTTACAGCCAAGAAAAATATTCGGCCCATAGAGGGTTAACGTAAAGAGTGTATTTTCGCACGAGAATGATAACGTTGCTTTTCTCGGATTCGTAAAAGAGTAAAGGACGTTTAGTCATCCATTTCTGCTTGCGTCGAACTTTTCTGCAAATAAGCACTTTGGTAACTTGAAGACACTGAAAAAATGTTTGCAACTGCAACGTAATTCTTTTATACTGACGAAATGCGTAGGCTTGTAGAGTGTTGCGAAAGAGTTATCCAAACGAGTGGCGATTGCTTTGTCAAGTAAAATTACACTCCAAGAGAGTTCAGTCGGAAACATTTTCCTCTACGCGACAACCTATCGCTCGCAGATACATCTGCAACTGCGAACGAATTTACTACGTATTTAAAATAACTCATTCAAGACCTCCGAGAAATCTCGTATCTCTCAGCTTATCTGTGTCTGAAATTAGCACCGAGTGCACTATAAGAATCCTCCAAGGAGAAAAAAACAGATAATTACGAGGAATATTCACAATGATCGCAGACGTAGCAATAACAAGCCGAACTATAAATAACCAGTGAAACAACATTACGCGTCGTTATTCAGTGAATACTATCAACGCGACAACGGTAGAAAAACACGCGACGGTAAAATTGCAAAGTGACAGCGGCGCGCTACGTCAGCTTGTCGCATTTCCTTCTCGCCCACGTGGACCAATGAGAGTATCGTTCACCTCTGACCTTTCAGTCGTTCGCTCGCTGCTTCCGCGTGTCTCTGTCGCGCGCGTAAATCACGCGATCCCGCGTCCTGTTTCTCGCGATTTTCTTCCCGCGCCGTCTGTTTCAGCTATGGCGAACACGTAATCGCGCGGAGCGCGCTCGAAATAGTGTACGCGCGAACGTAAGCGGAATGCGACACGCGCGCGATCGAGTCCGCAGAAAAATGTTGACCGGCGTGTGCAGCTGAACGTTGGAAACAGCCTGGCTGTGAGATGTATATGTGTCTACTGTTTCTCAAGCGGAGAATTCCCGGTGAATGACAACGAGGCAACAGGCTCACGTGTTGTTACTGTGTGTACGAGGGGAACACGTTTAGGCGGCGTGTTTGTTTCATTGGCGAAGCGAACAGGCTTGGGCATTCTTTTCCTTCAATCGACGACGAAGCTTGCATTGACTGCGGTTGCACAAGAAAATACCGTCGTTACGGTGGGTTGGTGATTCTTGTGAAATTGGTGGATAAACGGGGAGGAATTTTTATGTTCGTTGGGAAATGTGATAAGATTCATGGACGGTGTGAAAAAGTGATAGGGGAGAGGTTTGTTATCGAGTGAGCAGTGGGACGTGCTTGAGTATTTGAGTAAAAACTGATGTCAATTTAGTGTCGTTACGGATGATCGGTAAATATATAACTAATTATTAAGAAAGTTAATTAGTTTAGATACATTCTGAAATGTAATGCTCGGGAAATTAATCCTCGTTTTTTGAGAAATTTGATAAGATTCTTAGATAGTACAGAGAATTGAAGAAAGGTTAAAGTAACTTCCCAGCATCTTCCCGCCTTTTTGGGGACTTGGATGAACTCTGCGTTGATTGTTGCAACAGGGAAATTTGTGCTCCTTTAGTGAGAAATTTGACGAGATTTTGAGATAGTATAAATAAAGTAATTTTCCAGTCTCTTCCCGCTTTTTTAGGGACTTACAGAGAAACTCTATTGCTTATTGTGGCAGGCAAATTTGTGCTCCTTTAGTGAGAAATTTGACGAGATTTTGAGATAGTATAAATAAAGTAATTTTCCAGTCTCTTTTAGGACTCGCAGATAAACTCTGTATTGATCACTATAACGGACAAGTTTCCGCTCCTTCGTCGAGAAATATGCTAAAATTTCAAGACGGTGCAAAGAATAGAAAAGAGGTTAAAGTAACTGTTCAGTCTCTTCCCGCTTTTCGAGGGACTCGAAGGTTGGCTCTGTATCGATCGTCGCAAGAGGCAAGTTTAAACTTTACACCATCCGAGTGTTTGCGCTTCTTAAAAGTGGCACTCTTCGAGGATCCTTGGAGCATAACTGACAGATTACACGTTACAACACGCACGATCTCTTCCGTCGTCAAGATTGCACAGGTAACCTGTCAAACTTCACCGCGAACCTCCGCTCCATTTTCCCTCCGCAGCATCGATAAAATTGACACTTGTCCGAGCGTTCGATCTCGCTTACGTATATAACACCGCGCCGGTTACACAATTCGAGATTTCCTAACAGCTGTCGCGGGGAAAACAGTGCATCTCGTAACCGCCGTGCAACACGAGCAAACTGTGAACGAGAATATCCTGCGCTCACCGGCCAAGATAAGCTTTCTCCGAAAGGTAAACTCTCCAAGCTTCCCCCGGGGCTGTACCTTTAAAAATCTTCCAATATTGCAGTCGTCGTCTTTAAACAGAATCTCGGTATCCTTGCGCGAGACACGTGTTTCTGCATACTGTACTTTGCCTGGTGACTCAGTGCGTACACAAACCTTCACTGACGCAGGTAAAACTTTCTCGAAGCTGTTCGTTACCTGTGTTAATCACCTACGAGACTCGTAAAACGTTCCTACAGTTGACGAATTCCGATACGAGCGTAAACGGTACGAATCCAGGTACTGGAAGGAGCGCGTGTTCTCGTCGTTCTAGAATACTCACGGCCGCCACGAAAGGCAACGTGCCTGCGACCTTGAGAGCTCGTCGCGTCCTCGACATTCTCGCAGGATCGACTCGAGGTGGTGGGTAACGATGGACGCGCGATTGGACGATCTGGAGAGCGCGCGATCGGTCCGGCAGACTGTCTGCGGACAGCCGCCACTCCGTTATCGTCGTCGGTGGTAAGCGCGTGTGTCTCTCTCATTTGCAAATACGTTTACACGTGACGCGATTCGGTCCCTCTTTTGTCGCGAGCTCAGGTCACGAACGGGGAGTATCGGCTCGCTGGCTCGCTCGCGAGGGGCTAGCATGGAGAAATGTCGCGACAGACGGCGAGAAAGGTGGTTGCATAGCCAGTCTCGTCGGTGCATCGTGATTAGGGGACCAAGTTTCCTGTCTGATCACACCGCGAACGTTCTTTCGTGCAACCGAGTGGACAGCTTCCGGTTCCGCGGTCTCTAGCCTCGTGATTGCTACCTGTTGATCGTGTCGTCGATAGACCATTGCAAAATGTGCGGATCGCCGGTACACCTTGTCGTTCGTTCGTTTTAGAGATCGTTCTGTGTCTGAGAACAGTAGTGGACAAGTTGCTCGACACGTGCGCGCCTTCGACGGTGAATCCGCATCTGGGACAACGGTCGTGCGGTTTTTGCGCTGGGAGCACTGGACTCTGGCTGGAGATTCAATGGAATTCCGTCGGTTCGAGTTGTAGGTAGGTCATGATTTGTGCATTATTGATAGAGTTTCACAGCGGCGTAGAGAATAATGTTTCGACGTAGCTGACGTACTTGACGTACCTTCCTTCAGGTGACACATTGCGCGTGTTCTTTTATTAATTAGCGAAAGCGATACTTTCGTTCGTCGGTCGGTGTTTGTCGAGTGGTACGTGTCTCGAATGAGTAGTTAGCGAAATTCAGATGTTCGAAATTAGTTTATGGATAATTAATAACGACGAGTATCGAGAGAATCGCTTTCACTTTCGTTGTGCATTTGGAAATCCGTGAGAAAACATGGTTGACTCATCGAACGTTTCGAGCGACCTTCGAAGAGGAAAGTAGCTGATTTAACAGTCCTCGATCGTACTTTCGGGTTTATTCAACTCGCCTTGACATTGAAGCGCGGCTAGCCGACCTGTAGAGAAGAGTTACGCAAGCTCTGGAAAGGAGCAACGAGATCAGAGGAGTACAAACTTCTCTCGAAGAGTTTCTTTCTAATCTCGAGAGATCGTTTTCCTTTTTTATTCCAAGTGAGTTAGATCCTCTGATCTCGTCGCAGGGTAAACCGAGCTTGTGCCTCTTCCAGTTAAGCGACGTCTCGAGGTTGTCCACTGCGTCACCTTCTTTTTCTCATTCTTCACCGCGTCCCACGTTTGTACACCTTGAAGCAAAGGTCGGACTCTCGCCTTGTAGACGTTTCAACGTGTGAATTCTGGTACAGAGTAGCGTGTATCGTGTTCCAACGATCACTGGTGTTCGATCGATAATTACAACCAGCTCTGTGAATCACGATTAAGTCGGAACGCTTGACTCACCGGTTGACCTGCTACGTTTAATTATACCGCGTCAAATTACTTCACGTTCAACTGACAATTTCCCGAACCTTGATCCTCTGATTCGTGTAATCTGGATGACGGAAACGCGTAAAAAGTGTGCCTGATCCCGTTCCGTGACGCAACCGTCGCAACAAAGTATCGAACAATCGTTTATTTAATTGCGCAACATTTGCGAGTCGATCGGGCAGGTCAGCTCTCATTTGTATAAACGTTGTACTAATTTGTAAGATTGCTCTGTTAATTAGAGTGCTACGTACGTGACAGTGAAGTGTGATTTGTAGTGTGTCACGGCTGAAATGATTCAGCATGGTATACTCCGTGAAACGAACACCGCGAACTCGTAAAATCAGTCGAAGTAAACATGTTACTCAATAGTGTCTACAAGGGAATTGACAGAAATGTGAGAATTAATTAGCGTTTTTGTAATAAAACGTTTATTACGCCGACTTTTATTATGTCACCACTTGAAGCTATATTTTTTCGTACCTCTCGTACTAATCATCGCTGTCTAACCTGTTACAGATCGAAAGAGACTCGCGATCCCCAAAAAATGAGCCCGCAAACTTTCTAAACTAAAGAGATCGACGTCCAGGAAGAATCTGCGAAAATGGTGCCCTCGTCGAGGCTGCTCCAGGACGAGCCAGCCGATTCCGCGACAGAAACTAGCCCCAGAAATCCGCCCGACAGACCAACGACCCTGCCGTCGATCGTGATCGAGGACGTCGGAGGCAACGACGATGATCCACCGCCTTACAGCGCGGTCGTTCCGCCGGATCACGTCGGTTGGCCTTTCAACTTTCCTGCGATTCCGTATTCCGCGTGTACGACGACGAGCTGCAGAACGGAGGCCGCCCCGTTGGCCGATTTCCAAACGAACCCGACGTCGCCGGGTTCCGATTTCCATCCCGAGGGAACGGACAGTCAGCACGCGTCGATCTCGATGCCTTTAATGCCGTACAGGCTGCTCATGTTCGGCTCCCGTAGATCTCTGTTCACGCACGGCGGACTGCCGTTCTCGGATAACATCTCAGTGAGGAAGGACGGGAACGGAAGGACACGCAGTAAGTACCTGTGCTTTGTTGGAAGTGGAGCACACCGTGAAACGGCCGGCCGGACAATGAGTCACCAGGCCGTTTCTCTCGACCGATGAATGTGATTAACGACGGTCCTGGAGGATTTGCGAGATTTATCGGCTGCTTCTTCGGGCAAGCTTAGCGTCCGGCTGACGGTTTAGGAGCTGGGAAGGCTGCGCGAAGGTCTTTTTTCTACCTTCGGTGTTTAATGCTTTCTGATTTTGGGATTTGGCGTTGGGCGATGGTTAGGCATGGAGTTAAGTGAATTGGAACGAATGGATGTGTGATTTTCTTTTTAACCTTGAATACTTAACGCTTTCTTATTTTGGTATTTGGTATTGGGCGATGGTCAGGCA